TAGACATCCGGAAGGCGTTTGACACAGTCTCGTGGCCATATCTGCACTACATTCTGTGCCGATCGGGCTTTGGCCCTCACTTTTTATCCTGGATCTTCTCACTATATAGAGAGCCCTCGGCCAGAATTAGATACTTAGGACACAAGTCTGCCCAATTTCCAATTTCCCGTGGCACTAGACAGGGCTGCCCCCTTTCCCCCCCTACTCTTTGTTTTGGCCATAGAATTGTTAGCCCTTCTAATTAGAGCTAATCCAGATGTCCATGGACCCGAGATAGGTGGCTCTCAAAACAAATTATGCCTTTTTGCGGATGACGTTCTACTTTTTCTCACTTCTCCTTTGACTTCTTCTCCTTCCCTCCTCCGGCTTCTCGAGAAGTTTGGCTCGCTCTCTGGCCTTATAATAAACTCCCAGAAATCAATGGCACTTAATATTTCCCTCCCTCCTAAAGATTTGGCCCACCTGAAACAGATCCTTCCATTTCCTTGGTCCCAGCATCATATTTCTTTCTTGGGTATTAAATTGCCCCCCAACATATCAGGTCTATATGCAGCTAACTATACTCCTATGCTAACCCATCTTACTGCTCTCATGACCAAATGGTCCTCCCTACCACTTGCATGTCTAGGTAGAATAGCAAAGATAGAATAGTCGTAAAGATGTCAATTCTTCCCAAAATTTTATATTTATTCAGAAATCTCCCAATCCCAGTACCCATGCATTATCTTCGCACATTACAACGTCGTCACATTTTTTCCTACGTCTGGGGCACTGTCCGCCCCCGTATACCCCGCTCCACCCTATACCACCCCAAGCTCGACGGCGGTCTTGGTCTTCCAGATATCGGCAAGTACTACCAGGCGGCACACTTAGCACAGTTACCAAAATACCATGCGACCTACGAAATCCCTCAGTGAGTGGTCCTTGAATCTATAGAATGTGATCCCTTGTCTACTGCTATCCTACTTTGGCTAAGACCAATAGACCGCCCGCTCGATAACGAACCCCCATTACCTTTCACTTTCTATCGCTATGGGACAAACTGAAATCTCGCTATCTCCTACAATCACTGCATAACCCCTTGCTTTCATATCTCCAGAACCCAGCCTTTCCCCCAGCATGGTCATCACCACTCTCATTCAAACTATGGACCTCTGCTAACCTGCTCCGCAACCATCATTTTCTGTTGAGGAACAAGTTTAAATCCTTTGCCTCGCTACACGAAACATACGACCTTCCAGCTTCTGAAATATTCCTATACTTACAATTACAACACTTTTATGCTCCTTACACTACAATAGCTAACCAAACTAACACCATGTCTCCCTTTGAACGGGCTTGTCATAAAGACCCCCATATTTTGTTATCTCTTGCTTATAATCTTTGACCATTTAATATTATGAGAAATGTTGTATTGTTCTCTTAATTCTCCCTCCCCACCTATCCACAAAGACATTATTACTGTGACTATTACTCCCTGTGTTTCCTGTCAGTAAAATGTCTACTGTCAATGTCTTTTTCCCCCTGTTACATACCAATAAAATGTTTGAACAAGAACACCTTTGGGATGAATTAGAGCGGAGACTGAGAGCCAGGCCTTCTCGTACGACATCAGTGCCTGACCTCACAAATGCGCTTCTGGAAGAATGGTCAAACCTTCCCATAGACACCCTCCTAAACCTTGTGGACGGCCTTCCCAGTAGAGTTGAAGCTGTTATAGCTGCAAAGGGCGGGGCCAACTCAATATTGAACCCTACGGACTAAGACTGGGATGGTATTAAAGTTCATGTGCGTGTAAAGGCAAGCGTCCCAAAACTTTTGGCAATATAGTGTAGTTTCCATGACTGAAAAGTGATCTATGAATGAAGGACAGGCGAATGAATGAAAGGTCCAGCATGTGACTGGACAGCGAAAGGAGAAGTAGAACAGTAATGAGCTCATCTCATTCTGCTATCTACTATCAGCATTCCTCTTGTCAGCACATGAACTGATTGGCTCCTTGTGCCGCTCACACTCCAGCCATGATGTTTACGGAGTATAAGAAGCTGTAACCAGATTGATTTCAGGTACTTACACTGCTTGCACTTGAAAAATACATTTAATGATGTGTTAATGAGCACAGATCTACACTAATTTGTGCATTTATATATGCCTGGAGTTCAGCTTTGAAATGTCTTTTCTTCACATAATCACAGAGCACTCGAACACCGAACAAAATTTTCTGATGGTTTGAACAAGTCTCTTTTATTGCCGCTATTTTGTCTCTTTGACTGAACGCAATCTCCAGAGGAGCTCAGCATTTTCAGAAAAAGATTTGTGAACGCATTTCACTTATTATTTCGGAGCTTTGAAAACTTCCCAGATCAACAATAAAACCATATAAAACATGCTGTAGATTAAAACAACAACAGCTTTTGGAGGAGATAAAATATATCAGGAATTTGCCGGTTCGCTCCATGGAAGGGAGGAAGGTCTGGGTCGATGATATTATTATGAGCGGTATTTCAAACCAGCGGTAAATAACAGTGTCATTGTGTAAGATTAGGTTAGGATTGTTAGATGGGATGGTGACTCTCAGGTTTGTTTTCTAGCAGGTTCCTTACCATGCTGGGCTATGGGGCTGTGTGTTTCTACTGATGCACACAATATAGGGGAACACAACACTAGTCCCTACATACAAGGGTGGCTACATAGGATGCTGCAGAAAAAAAAAAAAAGATCCAACCTGAAACAGCAGTCATGGCAATAATTAAAATATGAAGAAGCTTTATGCTCAGTAAGTGATTAAATCAGCTCCTGAAAGTACTTTAAAAAAACAACTGAGAATTTATTATCACTTTATGTTAAATCAATTTATAATTTGCCTTTGCTTGCTCTTCCTTCATACACCCATTCCCATCAACATGCTAATTAAATTCTTACACAAAACCTTTCCATTGTCATTATAAAATTATAGGTATGAATGGAAAATAGGTATTCAGTACCTTATTTTAGACCCAGTTATGTCATCACTGGGCCTATGTGCTTCTCTATGCAATGCAGATCATGGCTGGTGGGAGAAGCTAACAGGGTGCTGTATAGACACATGCAGAATGAAAAAATTAGTTTGTTTTGATTCATTATTTAAATAATTTTGTTTGATTCATTATTTAAATAATTTAGTTTATTTAAATGTCTTACATTTGTTTAATTAGTTTTCGTAATTCGTTTAGTTTCATTTATTCAAATGAATAAACTATTACAATTTTCCAAATTCGGTTGAATCTAGTTCAGTTCAAGCGAATTGAAAAGTTTCGAATTTATTCTATTCAAAATATGAATTTCGGAAGAGGGTTATATTCTATTTTACTCTATTGTTTTTACTATTCTAGTCTATTTTTTTATATTCTATTCTCTATTTTAATCTATTCGATAACATTCAAATTTATTCTATTCGAAAACTGAAGTTCGGAAGACAGCTATATTCTGTTTTATTCTATTGTTCTTTCTAGTCTATACTTTCTAGTCTATTCTATTTTTTCCATTCTATTCTAATCCATTATTTTCTATTTGATTCATTTATTTTCTATTCCATTCTTTTATTTTCATTCATTCTATTAATTCTAATCTATTATTCTTTTTTAAATTAAAATTTCAGAAGGAGGCTATATTCTTATCTATTCTTTTATTTTCTATTCTATTCTAATCCATTATTTTCTATTTGATTCATTTATTTTCTATTCCATTCATTTATTTTCCATTCTATTCTATTTTTAATCTATTCTATTTTTTTTTTTAATTAAAAATTCAGAAGGAGGCTATATTCTTATCTATTCTTTTTTTTTTTTTATCCCTATTCTATTTTATTCTTTTCTATTCTATTTTATTTTATTCAAGTCTATTATTTTATTTCCTATTCTATTCTAGTCTTTTCTATTCTATTCTATTCCTTTCTATGCTATTCCTTTATTTTCTACACTATTTTATTCTATTCGATTTGAATTTCAGCCAAAATTTTCCTTTGTTATTTCGGATTTGTTTAAATTTGTTACAATTGTAATTCATAAATTCGACATATCCAACTCTCCGAATAACAAAAAAATTGTTTGAATGTCTAGTGCTGTATATAGGTTTCTAAAAACATCACAGCACCATACTTCTCTCGGCCCTGATGCAAGCTGTGGGCTGGCTCTTGGGAGGAGTTATGTCTAAATGTCAAAATGCCTTTATTGGGAGATGTCAGTTTGGAAGAGCGGTCATTCATAGGCAGGATGTATTTGAATGCAGCCGTGTATTTGTGAGGCTAAACCTCCATGAATGAAAGAACTGAAATCCAGTGGATTAAGGGGCAGGTCAGAGAGAGTCAAGCTGAGAAAAAAAGCTAGATGATGCTAGATGTCCTCCAGCCAGGAAATGAGACAGGACTTGTTGCAGCTTCTAATGCACATTGTGAAAAGCTCACAGTGTGCAGTGAAATCAGTGTGAGCTATTCGACTACAAGAAAGGAGCTGTACAACTGTGCAAGATGTAAGCAAAGACTGGCATTTAGCTTTAACCACTTCTGACCGTCCTATAGTAGAACTACTGCTACAAGGTGGCAGGGCTGGGCAAAATCACATACCGTATTGTTTGCTCCATAAGACGCACTTTTTTCCCCCCAAAAAAGGGGGGAAAATGTCAGTGTGTCTTATGGAGCGAATATAAAGCGGCCGGTCTGGTATTTCTGCCGCTACCATGTCAGAATATCGGGCTGGCCGCTCAGCTCTTCTCTCCTGCAGGACCTTACCTGTTCCTCGGTCCAGCGCATGACAGGTCCCAGAAGGCACCGGGCCATTCACAAAGTGCAGCGCTTCTCGCACATGCGCAGTGGGTACCCAGCTGTCACAGAAGCCGGCGCAGGAAGAAGAGGGAAGAACAACTCCGCGGAAGTGGGAGCGGGTACCTGTCAAATTCAGGTACCCGTTCCCCCTCCCTCCCCAAAGGTCCGCAGTCTCTGGTCATCCCCTGTACTGTCTGCATTTTCTCTGGTCGCCTCTCTGTACTACCGTGTCCGCAGTCTCTGGTCATCTCCTATACCGTGTATCTGTACTATGTCCACACCGTGTCCGCAATCTCTGGTCATCCCCTGTACCGTGTCCGCAGTCTCTGGTCATCTCCTGTACCGTGTCCGCAATCTCTGGCATCTCCTGTACCTCTGCAGTCTCTGGTCCTCTCCTGTACCGTGTCCGCAGTCTCTGGTCCTCTCCTGTACCGTGTCCGCAGTCTCTGGTCCGCAGTCTCTGCTCATCTCCTGTACTATGTCCGCAGTCTCTGGTCACCGTGTCCGCTCCTGGTACCTGTCCTGTGTCCGCAGTCTCTGGTCATCTCCTGTACTGTGTCCGCAGTCCTGGTCATCTCCTGTACTGTGTCCGCAGTCTCTGGTCATCTCCTGTACTGTGTCCGCAGTCTCTGGTCATCTCCTGTACTGTGTCCGCAGTCTCTGGTCATCTCCTGTACTGTGTCCGCAGTCTCTGGTCTCCTGGTCATCTCCTGTACTGTGTCCGCAGTCTCTGGTCATCTCCTGTACTGTGTCCGCAGTCCGCCTGTAGTCTCTGGTCCTCTGCTGTACTGTGTCCGCAGTCTCTGGTCCTCTGCTGTACTATGTTCGCAGTCTCTGGTCCTCTGCTGTCCGCTGGTTCACTCTGGTCATCTCCTGTACTGTGTTCGCAGTCTCTGGTCCTCTGCTGTACTATGTTCGCAGTCTCTGGTCATCTCCTGTCCTGTGTCCGCAGTCTCTGGTCATCTCCTGTACTGTACTGTGTGTCTCTGGTCTCCTGTACTGTGTCCGCAGTCTCTGGTCATCTCCTGTACTGTGTCCGCAGTCTCTGGTCATCTCCTGTACTGTGTCCGCAGTCCGCAGTCTACTGTGTCCTCTGTCATCTCCTGTACTGTGTCCGCAGTCTCTGGTCATCTCCTGTACTGTGTCCGCAGTCTCTGGTCATCTCCTGTCCTGTGTCCGCAGTCTCTGGTCATCTCCTGTACTGTGTCCGCAGTCTCTGGTCATCTCCTGTACTCTGGTCCTCTGGTCTCTCCTGTACTGTGTCCGCAGTCTCTGGTCCTCTGCAGTACTGTGTCCGCAGTCTCTGGTCCTCTGCTACTCCGCAGTCTCTACTCTGCTGTACTGTGTCCGCAGTCTCTGGTCCTCTGCTGTACTCTGTTCGCAGTCTCTGGTCATCTCCTGTCCTGTGTCCGCAGTCTCTGGTCATCTCCTGTACTGTGTCCGCAGTCTCTGGTCCACTTTCCCTGTACTGTATGTCTGCAGTCTCTGGTCCATTGCAGTCTCTGGTTCTGCTGTACTATGTCCGCAGTCTCTGGCGTCCGCAGTCTCGAACTGTACCCTGCCCGCACCGCCGCACCGCCATTGGCAGCCACAGCTGTCGATCACCAGGTCCAGGCCAGGGATTCCCTTCCGGCACTCGATGATCGTCGAGGAACACTGACAGGGGAGAGGTCTGTATGTAAACAATACAGATCTCGCCCCTGTCAGCACCAGCATGCTGCTTTGTATTGTTCTGCATCAGGGGCAGACTGACCATTTGGAAACTCAGGCACTGCCCGAGGGCCCAGGGTCAGTAGGGGGCCCCATGAGCTGCCCCTGGTAACTTTTTCATAGGCTTTTTTGAGTTTGGGCAAAGACACAGGGGCCCCATGATCCCCTATTGCCCGGGGGCCCCATGAGTTGTCAGTCCACCCCTGCTATGCATATCACATCCATACAAAGCAGCATACTACATAGTAAAATACGCACAGGCCACACAGTAAAACAGCGCACAGCAACAGGTAACCCTTTAATCGTCCCAGATGTTAACCCCTTCCTGCCCAATGTCATTAGTACAATGTTATTGCTTGTTATTAGTACTGATCAGTGTATTAGTGTCACTGGGGATGTTAGTGGCAGTTAGTCAGTCCCCCCCCCCCCGTGTCAGAATGTCCGCCTCAGTCCCACAGTCCGCTATAAATTGATGATCGCCGCCATTACTAGTATTAAACAAAAAAAATCCAGTATATATACTCCCATTTGTAGACGCTATAACTTTTACGTAAACCAATTAATTTACACGTATTGGGATTTTTTTTTTAGCAAAGACATGGAGCAGAATACATTTTGGCTTACATTTATGACGAAATTAGATATTTTACATTTTTTTTACTGGACATGCTTCTAGTAGTAAAAAATATTGTATTGTTCTTCAAAATTGTCAGCTTTATTTTGTTTATAGCGCAAAAAAAAAAAACAAAAACGCAGAGGCGATCAAATACCTCCGAAAGAAAGCTCTATTTGTGGGGGAAAAAAGGACGTAAATTTAATTTGGGTGCAGCGTTGCATGACCGCGCAATTGTCAGTTAAAATAACACAGTGCCGTATCGCAAAAAATGGCCCGGTCAGGAAGGGGGGGAAATCTTCTGGAGGGCAAGTGGTTAAATATCAGTTGCAACAACATTTCCCATATTTCTCTCCTGGCAGGCTCTCTTTAAATAGAAGCGGTCCTGCTTGAATTATAACGTAACTTGTCATACACTTCAGGCTTAAAGCACTTTACTTGCAGCAATATATGAGCCTGTCTGGTTATCTGTAAAATAGAATGAAAAGTACTCTGTTGCAACTCCAGATAAATGAGATGTGGGCTGCGGCACATCCAGCAAATATATAAATACATTTCTACCTGCGCAGGATTTGGGGAGAGAGTTCAGCAAGTGCCCTGAGTTTTCTAGTCAAGCATGATAGCCAATCTCGCTATTCACAGTCTGAGAAATAGATAAGGGCACTTGGGGTTTATTTTTTTTTTTTTTTTTTTTTTAAAATAGTTTAGAAATGGAAGCAGCTGCGACAAGAAGACGTCAGTTACAGAAGAAGTATTAGAAGTTTTTGGCTTCATTAAATGAGCATTAAAACTGAACACTGGGCATAGCAAAAACACAAATTATTGCAGCTCTGTATTCATTAAACACTTCCCGTCCGGCTGCTGTATATAAACGGCTGGACGGGAGCTGTACAGCAGCGGGTTGCCGTTCATAAACGGCGCCTGCCATTTTAGCCTGTGCGCGCTCCCTGGGAGCGGAGGACACAGCGCAACACCGATCGCTGTACGGGACTTCTGTGTGAGGTCAATCAGTGATCACATCAATAGTAGTAAGCAAGATGTCACTTCTGACATCATTGCTTACTACTAGTGAAATCTGTGAATGATCACAGAGGTCACATGGTACAAGGCTATTCACAACAGCCTTGTACCATGTGACAAGTTGTGACCAATCACAGCCCACACTGTATTTCTCAATGGCTGCAAGAATGCAGCCAGAGAGAAGGAGAAATGATTGCTTTTACAGCCTTTATGAGTGTAAAAGCAATCAGTGTTAAAAAAAAAAAAAAAAAAAAAATCTTCATCACCCCCCAAAAGTAGTACAGTGTCACCATGCTGACACTGTACTGCTAGGGTGACAGTATGTAAAATAAATAAATAAATAATATTAAAAAAAAAAAGTTAAAAAAAATGTTTTTTAAAAATTATAATTTTTTAAATTTGGCTTATTTTTTTTTTTTTTTTACTAAAAATATAACGGAATAAATTTTGGACAAGATTTATGATGAAATATTATTTATTTGCAAAATTTTATAAGAAAAAACACTTTTTTTCAAAATATTTGGACACTTTCATTTACATAGCAAAAAAAATTAAAATCCCAGCGGTGAATAAATACCACCATAATGAAGTTTTATCTGTCTCAAAAAAATGGTAAAAATTCATATGGGTACAGTGTTGCATGACCGCGCGCAATTGTCAGTGTAAAAAAAAAAAAAAAATCTTCATCATCCCCCCACAAGTAGTACAGTGTCACTATGGTGACACTGTACTGTTTTTTAACTGTAAGTTAAAAAAAAAAAACATAAATAATATGGACTGATGTAAATGTACAATATATATGTAAAGCGCTGAGTAAATTGACAGCGCTATAGAAGTACCTATAATAAATAAAATAATAAAAATTAAAAAAAAAAAAATTTGAAAAAAATTATAATTTTTGGTAATATAAACTATTTTGGGTTATTATTTTTTACTAAAAAGATAACTGAATACATTTTTGCAAAGATTTATGAAGAAAGATTATTTATTTGCAAAAATAAAATTTTATTAAAAAAACACTTTTTTTAAACTTTCATTTATATAGCAAAACATAAAAATCCCAGTGGTGAATAAATACCACCAAAATAAAGTTTTATCTGTCTCAAAAAATGCTAACAAATTCATATGTGGTACAGAGTTTTCATGACCCGCGCCGCACTGTTTGCCATTCAACTGTTTTGGTGCCGTGGTGTGGCATTTTCAGTGCTGGCTGCCTAAATTGATCATCTGTACTTAGTGGCGCAGGAGATGCTTTATTTATTTAATATGGGTTATTATTTTTACTAAAAAGATAACTGAATAATTTTGGCAAAGACTTTATGAAGAAAGATTATATATTCACTTTTTTTTCAAAATTTTTTTGGACTTTCATTTATATAGCAAAACATAAAAAGATCCCAGTGGTGAATAATATCACCAAAATAAAGTTTTATCTGTTCAAAAAAATGCTAAAAAATTCCATGGGTACAGAGTTGCATGACCGCGCAGGAAGGGGGTAAAAGAGTCCAGACTTGAAGTGGTTAATCCATCATTAAAGTTTAGGTGTGGGAATTTTTACATAGTTACATTGATCCGACTTGGACCAATAAGATGCATTCCCTTGAAAGTGTCTACTATGATGAAACATGTCGGACGGGGCTTGTGCTAACGTCATCATGCTGCCAAACAGCAATCCATTGGTTATGTTGCTCTTTGAACAAAACAAATGTATTTTGTGAGTTCCTTTTTTTAATTAACAAATGCGTGATGCAGTTTTACACCATGGAACATCTGTGATTAATATCCTTGCCGATACTGAGCTACGTCCCTGCTGGCGAGTCCTGCGGTTTCCTTTCTCCTGTCTGTGTATGGGATTGCGGCTCACAGATCCTTTGCACCATTAAGTGTTACTAAACCCAGGACCCGGGATTCACTATATCTGGTCTCCCAGGACCCTGCATTCACTATATCTGGTCTCCCTGGACCCCGCATTCACTATATCTGGTCTCCACGGACCCTGCATTCACAATATCTGGTCTCCCAGTACCCTGCATTCACTATATCTGGTCTCCCCGGACCCTGCATTCACTATATCTGGTCTCCAGGACCCTGTATTCACTATATCTGGACTCCCAGGACCCTGCATTCACTATATTTGGTCTCCCCGGACCCTGTATTCACTATATCTGGTCTCCCTGGACCCTGCATTCACTATATATGGTCTCCCAGGACCCCACATTCACTATATCCGGTCTCCCAGGACCCCGCATTCACTATATCTGGTCTCCCCGGACCCTGCATTCACAATATCTGGTCTCCCCCACACCCTGCATTCACTATATCTGGTCTACCACAGTACACACAACATGGAAATGCAATTATTTTAGTAAATATAAACTGCTAAATACCTTTTCTCATCAGCAGTTAGAGCAGTCTTGTGACTTCTATCAGTGTCCAGCACTGGTTAAAGCTTGTATGAGGAGTTTTCATTTTGCTCTAGGAGGATGCAGGACCCCTGACCTATGTGTGGACAGTGCTAACTGGCCCTATGCTGATCGCATGCACTCTCCCAAGAAAATAAAAAAAATCTCTAGTAATACACACCAAACTGAGCATGTGCAGAGTGTCTCCACATGATATGTCTTATCAGGAGATGAGAGGGAGACACTGAAATAAGGGGAGGATCAGGGAAGACAGGATCAAATAGCGTTTTTACACAATGGAGAGGTTTAACCCCTTAGGTTCCACAGTGAGTATAACAAGCGTGCTTTACTGCATATACAGACTGATTGTACTGTTGTGGGTTTAGTAACACTTTAAGCGTTAAAAGACCGCCTATAATTTAGGATCTGGTTTTTTGGTAAGAGGCGAGTGTTCTGTGTGGTGGTGGAATTCACAGGGAAATCACAAAAAAGGTTTGACCATCAGTGGTGGACTTTATTTAATTTAAAATTCAGGGGATTCACAGAAGGTTTATGGACCTTTATGGTGGACTATAATTTAAAGTTACAGAGCAACATGTTGATATTCATTTTTCATGTTTTGTATCTGGATGGTTTTTTGAGTGCTTACTTAGGCTACTTTCACACTGATCTGCCACAAATACCCAGAAAAAAAAATGCACAGGCATTTTACCGCACTTTTGCCACACTTTCTGATCGTTTTTTAAAAGACACATGACTTAAAAAGTGCACCAAAAATGCTTCTCAGAGGCATTTTTCAGGCATTTTCCATTGACTTCAAAGGGAAGAGGCATTTTTCGGACTTTTTTTTATCTGAACAAACATGCTCTAAAGATGCTGCAAGCAGAAGTTTTTTACACCACAACGGAAGCGCAATGCCCCAGTGTGAAAATATACAGAGACTTACAAAGATTATTTATTTATGTTATTTGCACCAAGTGAAGTTTTTACAGTTTTTTTAGTTTTATGCATTTACCATACCTGTGGGATCCCTATGGAAGCTGAAAATCACGGTAACAGACACCCACTACTCCAGGAATCTCCACTTGCTTTTGGGTCCCGTGCCTAGCAGCTGCACTGTGAACAAGGAGGACTTGGCATTTTCTTAGTGAATGCAAAGCATTCTCTGATTGGATGAGGTGGCTATTTGGGGGCGGCAACATTATCATCTCCACCTTGCCCAATAAGAGCACTCTTTGCATTTATTGAGAAAGTGCAAAGTGTTACCTGAATGGTGCCCATCCTGAATGGGCGACCTCCTGTGTTCCTAATTATCAAACTAGGATGCCGTGCAGGTGGTTGACAACCTCCTTATGAACTGATGATGCTATTGGCTGTCAGGACGCCTGCGGCTAGAAGGTGGTAATGGTGCCTGTAATGAAAACCTGTGGCTTTGTGTAACTAGGCAGGCTTGTTCCACCCGCTGGCTTTTATACAAGTTTTGGACATTTTTCCAAGGCACTCCTGAAGAAACCTCAAGGCACCCCAGGGGGCCTGGGCACCCTGGTTGAGAAATGCTGTTCTAGAGGAATCCCACAGTTATGCCATATGCATTAGTGATTTTATCCTCCTGCACTTCTAAGTGAATAATAGAATATTATTAATATCTAAAAAGCTGCTGACACCCAGCCCTGTACCTATAGGTGATAATGATGCTAAAAATATAAATCTAGTGGTGTAGCGCTACTACATAAATAATAATAATAACCACATATAATAATACAATAATAATGTGTGATTAAATAATGGCGGACTGACCATTTGGAAACTCGGGCACTGCCCGAGGGCCCGGGGTCATTAGGGGGCCCCATGAGATTATCCTGGTACCTTTTTCAAAGGCTTTTTTGAGTTTGGGTGATTACACAGGGGCCCCATGATCCCCTATTGCCTGGGGATCCCATGAGTTGTCAGTCCACCCCTGGCATGAACTGTGACATATCCAAAGTGATCTGATCCTCTCTGGGATCTAAAAGTGAAACAGCTTTAAGTGACAAAAAACGTGAAACAAAGTGGTCCCAATTGAACCCAATATAGTGAAAAACAACAAAAAGCAAAAAAACAAACAGAAAACACAAATCCCTAATTGGGATCAGTGGCTTCAAATTAGCCCAATTAAAGACTAACCAAGTGGCGCATAAAAGTGAATCCCTTAAAAGGGATATACTTCCTATATAAAGTGACACGTGCTCAGCGATGACATCAAAAAATCCTCAAATACATATATAAAACAAATGTCGGAAAACACAATCCTCACCCTATTATTTACATCAAATTAAGCTAAAAAACAGTCCAATGTGACTAAAAAATATTGTATAGGGAAATATACATAAATGAATATACAGTCAGGTCCATAAATATTGGGACATCGACACAATTCTAACATTTTTGGCTCTATACACCACCACAATGGATTTGAAATGAAACAAACAATATGTGCTTTAACTGCAGACTGTCAGCTTTAATTTGAGGGTATTTACATCCAAATCAGGTGAACGGTGTAGGAATTACAACAGTTTGCATATGTGCCTCCCACTTGTTAAGGGACCAAAAGTAATAGGACAGAATAATAATCATAAATCAAACTTTCATTTTTTAATACTTGGTTGCAAATCCTTTGCAGTCAATTACAGCCTGAAGTCTAGAAAGCATAGACATCACCAGATGCTGGGTTTCATCCCTGGTGATGCTCTGCCAGGCCTCTACTGCAACTGTCTTCAGTTCCTGCTTGTTCTTGGGGGATTTTCCCTTCAGTTTTGTCTTCAGCAAGTGAAATGCATGCTCAATCGGATTCAGGTCAGGTGATTGACTTGGCCATTGCATAACATTCCACTTCTTTCCCTTAAAAAACTCTTTGGTTGCTTTTGCAGTATGCTTTGGGTCATTGTCCATCTGCACTGTGAAGCGGCGTCCAATGAGTTCTGAAGCATTTGGCTGAGAATATGAGCAGATAATATTCCCAAAACACTTCAGAATTCATCCTCCTTACCGCGACCCAATGGGCCAAGCTTGTGGGATCACAAAAAGGATCCTCCACGGTCAGATTCCCCTCTGTGGATGGTATCCTTCCAAACAGTAGAAACCCCTTCAGCGGTATACGTTATACATCTCAGGTCCCCTCCAGATATGCGTAACCGTAATACAGCCAACTCATATATGGATCATGATAATGACATAAAAGAGAGATCCTCCATAGTGTAATACCATTTATTGCATTTGGAAAGACATAGCAACGCCAATTGCCCACTCACTTGATATCAGATAAAAACAAGCAGTCAAACCACATGCTATGGGTATAGTATGCATGGGTTTCAGGTGTAGCAAGATGGCGTCCACGCAGGAAATACGTCACCACGTTCGGTTCACACTATTGCGGGCCATGCAGCCCGCATTTGCTTGGGCACGGCAGCCCATTCATTTTGTGCCTGCTTTTCCCGCACAAAAAAAGGTGCGGTTTGCCTGAGGTTTCCACACCCGCAATTACAGTGCTGACTGAGATGGGAGTGCTATTAAAAATGAATGGCGGCTGCGTGCATCTCGTAAATGCAGCGCAATTCATCTGCAAGTGGGTGTGGGTGCGATGCGATTCCCAAACCTGCTACCAGTCCGCATAGTGTAAACCAGAGCTAAATCCACCTCTGTGCAATCTGTGTTGCAATGTAAAGCCACACATACAGTAACCACAGGCCAAGTCATATATTTGTGTGTATTCTTACTTGACTTTTTCACAGAGAGAAAATACAGCATTTTATTTATTTTATTGTTATTTTATTTTTTTATTGTTATTTGATGTTTTTGACTTTTCATTCACCCAACTGTTCTACTGTCATAGACCGTTTTTCATTCATTGGAGCTATAGTACAGGTTCTATGAATGGAGGAGGTGGGAGAAAAGCGGGCATAGTTGGCCATCCTGATGCGTGAGTTTGACGGGCACCTCAGCTCTGTTGACCCCAGCTGTAATTGGGCAGCAGTAGAGGGGGGAGATCAGAGGAGGATGATTTCAACTACAGCAACAGCTATCAGCACAAGGGATACATTACATTGATAGCAAGTAATGCCCCTTGTACTGTGTGTTTGTTTGTTTTAACTAAACTTTATTTAATTGCATTAAATAAAGCATTCATTGGAATATTTTCATTTTATGGGTCTCTGTCTTCTTTAGATGGTCAAGTAATTAAACTGCATTTTTCTTAACCCAGCAAAAACATATTTTAATTACCTGGAAATCTATTACATCAGTTTCATCTTTATCTGTTCCTGACAGTCTAGCCTGGAGCAACTGGACACGGGAGCTACCACTCCAACAGCGCGCGTTCAAAGTGAAAGTTCTGCGTTCCTGTCTTCTTTTCAATTTGATGTCTTACATGCAATCTGAACAGCATGTACACAAGTGTTTATGCAAAATTTAAAAAGTTGCACTCTCACTGGTCTAGTTAATGGGTTGCACAGATTTTCAGCCAGCTTCATAAAACTGAAAGCTTCCTCTATGCATCTGTTCTGGAGATAATGCTAATCAACTTTTTTTTTTTAATTAAATCTGAGCTCCAGTAAATTAACTAATGTGTGTGAACCATTTTACCTGTTAAAGGATTTATAATTTCATTTAGCCAGTCTCATGATTCAGATCTCATTACAGCACAGCATACTCGATTTGGTGGGTAACCTCACTTTTCTCCACAACAGGTAAGCAATACAGTTTGGCCACCAGCTCACCCCCTGCCTGCTTGTAGATAGGTGCTTACAAGGGGAAAGTTTATTATCAGTGAGATAGCTAGTCTATCCAGGTTGGGGAAGGGTTAAGCTATGAGACGTCTGGTTCCCGAGCTTTTTGGGTCCTGCCTTATCAGTCCACACACACACACATATATATATATATATATATATATATATATATATATATATATATATATATATGGAAGCCTGGCTTTAGAGAGAGCCTGCACATGGGATTGCAGAAGTAGGGCTACTGCACCATGTAGCCCACAGGACACTGGAGTTGCGGGAGGTATTCACTAGAACTGGACACTACCATATATGTCCATCAGGTATGCCTGGGCAGCCACAGCATAGTTAGTAAGGGATTTGACTATGTTGCAGTTACATCTTGTATTGCTACAGAAGTGTTGTGGAAACTGTTCTAAAGCCTTGATTAGTGTATAAGAGATATGCTAGTTAAGACCCTCAACACCACCACCATCTATCTCTCTCTCTCACATACCCCCTTAACATACCAATAAAGTAAAACCAAAACACCGTTGGAGTAAAATGGCCAACACAGCGTTTTATTAACAAATCAACTTTAATACACAAAAACAATCCTTAACCACTTGCCTACCAGGCACTTATACCCCCTTCCTTACCAGGCCAATTTTCAGCTTTCAGCGCTGCCGCACTTTGATTGACAATTGCGCGGTCATGCAACATTGTACCCATATGAAATTTTGATAATTTTTTTCTCACAAATAGAGCTTTCTTTTGGTGGTATTTAATCGCCACTGGGCGCTTTACTTTTTGCGCTATAAATTAAAAAAAGTGCAAAAAATTTGAAAAAAAAAAAAAAGTTTATTTGTTTCTCTTATAAAATTTTTCAAACAGGTATTTTTTCTCCTTCACTGATTTGCGTTGATGAGGTGGCACTGATGGGCACTGATAGGCGGCACTGATGGGCACTGATAGGCAGCACTAAAGGGCACTGATAGGCAGCACTAATGAGGTGGCACGGATAGGCGGCACTGATAGACAGCACTAATTAGGGGTCACGGACAGGCGGCACTGATATGCAGCACTGATAGGCGGCACTGATAGGTGACACTGATGATGGGCACTGATAGACGGCACTGACTGGCATCACTTCTGGGCACTGACTGGCGGCACTGACTGGCACAACCCCTGGGCACTGACTGGTGGCACTGACTGGCAGCACTGCTGGGCTGCACTAGTGGGTGGCACTGGTGGGCAGCACTGGTGGGTGGGCACAGGTGGGCGGCACTGGTGGGCACAGGTGGGTGGGCACAGGTGGGTGGGCACAGGTGGGTGGCACTGCTGGGCACATGTGGGTGGCACTTCTGGGCACAGGTAGGTGGCACTGCAGAGTGGCACAGGTGGGTGCACTGCTGGGCACAGGTGGGGGCACTGCTGGGCACATGTGGGGGCACTGCTGGGAACGGGTGGGCGGGGCTAGTGGGCGCACTGCTGGGCGGAACTTGCGGGTGTCACTGCTGGGCACCGATCATCAGGGCACTGATCATCAGTGCCCTGATGATCGGTGCCGATCCCCGCTCTGACAACTGCCGGTTCTCGGCAGTAATTTCCTCACGATCTGACAGCGTGAGGAAAGTGCAGCCGAGAACCGGCACTTGCATTTCCCTGTGATCAGCGTGTCATTGGACACCGCTGATCACGTGGTAAAAGGCCGGTGGGATCGGCCTTTCACCACATCACGTGATCAGCTGTGTCCGTAGGACACAGCGATCACGGAGATCGCCGGGGTGCGCGCCCCCTGGGGCGCGCAGGAGAGCGCGTTCTGGGAGGACGTCATATGACGTCCACTCAGAACTGGCCGGCCGCGGTGAAGCCGTCATTCGGCTATGCGCGGTCGGCAAAGAGGTTAAAACAGAAACATACAGAAGAAGTTGTTGGCCTTCGAAGGCACCAAACAAAACTGATATCCCCCTGCGGAACCTATATTATAACTAGGCCTCCAGCCGCAACGCACTGGCTTGGAGAAAAAACATACCATCCGCAGTGCAGAACCCACCTTCCAGTTAAACCTTGGTTTAACCGTAATGCACCCGGGCACACCATACCACCGATGGGTCCCAACTATTA